GGATAGGATCCAGGAGTGGCGGTAGGGATGGTGGCCCAGAAGCCCCTTCCTCTGTGCTAGGAGCAGTGGGAGGGATGGTGGCCGGGAAGCTCCTTCCTCTGGACCAGGAGCAGTAGGACGGCAGCTCAGAAGCCACTGCCTCTGGGCCCGGAGTGGCGGGAGGGATGGTGGCCCGGAGGCCCCTTCCTTTGGGCTGGCAGCAGCGGGACAGAAGGTGGTCCAAAAGCCCTTTCCTCTGGGCTGGGAGCAGCAGGAGGGATGGTGGCCAGGAAGCCCCTTCCTCTGGGCCAGGAGCAGTGGGATGTTAGCTCAGAAGCCCCTACCTCTGGGCCAGGAGTGGCCAGACCCAGTACCGTGGTCTGGTGGTCTGCTGTCCTCTGCGTCTTTGTAGTTTGGAACCAGGTGGCTGTATAGAGGAGCAATGTGGGGGTGTCCAGTGGATTGCTGCCATGGCACAGGCTGATTCTGCGTGTTCCCCGTGACTCGCAACCTCAGTAGGGCATCCGCAGACCTGCCTGTCTCAACAAATTTTTGATAGTTCTCTAACAGCATAAAATAACCAAATGAAAAATAGTCAGTCCTATTTAAATGACCCAGTCTTCACATGAGAATTAGATGACATCTAACTACTGCCTATATAATAAATATACTGATTTCCCTAAATCAACCCATTTTATTTAGCAGTCTCTATAACTTTGGAAGTCAAGAATCTAAAGTTACAACATACCTACAAATGGCCCCATGCCCAGGCATAATATCACATTTTCCATTGTTCAAGCAGAAGTCAGGCTGCAGGTCACAGAGACTCTGACAAGGTAATTCATCCACACTCAGGTACCCAGGGTAGCATCTGCACTTTGCCTCTCCACTCCAGGGGTTGACCAGACATTCAGAAAATTCATTGCAGGCCTGGAACTTGCAAGGGTTGGCTTCATCACCTTAAATATCAAACAAATCAAAAAATGATATGAGGAAAAGCCAAAAAAATGTGATTCATCTTAAATTGATAAATTTGTGTCAAATTTCTCTGAAAGTCAGAGCCAAATCATAAAACCCTATGGCCCTGGCCAGCCACTATATGTTTTATCTAGAGATTATGTCAAAACCTTAAAAAAAATCAATGTCATGTAACCACAGATCTAAATTAAATACACTTTTCATATACTATTCATTGCCACAAACCTTATCTTTCTGTAGTCTACCCCCAGTCTGTACACACTGCCTCCTCCAAACTGGATGAAGAGAGAGAGCCCAGAGAAGAACTGATAAGGAGCCTCAAGGATGGGTATAGCCAAATAAGAGCAGCCTTAGAGCCTAGGGCAGAGAGGGTGAACTGGTCCCAGCACCCAGAAGGAAGCTCCCTCACTGCCATCCCAGGCTCCTAGGGCAGTGAAGCTCAGCCGGTCCCAGTACCTGGAAGGAAGCTCCCCACCTCCATCCCAGGTTCCTAGGGCAGAGAAGGTAAGCTGGTCCCAGCACCCAGAAGGAAGCTCCCCCACCACCATCCCAGGCTCCTAGGGCAGTGAAGCTCAGTCGGTCCCAGCACCCGGAAGGAAGCTCCCCGCCTCTATCCCAGGCTCCTAGGGCAGAGAGGGTGAGCCGGTCCCAGTACCCAGAATGAAGCTCCCCCACTGCCAGCCCAGGCTCCTAGGGCAGAGAAGCTGAGCTGGTCCCAGAACCTGGAAGGAAGCTCCCCCGCTGCCATCCCAAGCTCCTAGGGCAGAGAAGGTGAACCACGTGGGCGCCAGAAGCACCCCCACACACACACCGTGGAAATGAGAAGACAC